TAGACTGATGTAGTGCAGCTTTATGACCAATTAACAAATCTTATCAAAGACTTGAAAAAAATGCTTTGCTAATCTTGCATCCATTTGTTGCTTCTTACTGGTGAACTCTCTAAATCTGAAAGTGGATGATGTTCATGTTTCCGAAGCATAGATAAATTTGGCCAGTATTAAACAGCCCCGTGCAATTCTGTATTGTTGCACTGTGTGCTACCTGTCTTCTGGTACAACCGTTTCTTTGTTTCGTTATTAATCTCTTTATATGATAAGGACTGGTATGTTTATCGTCGTAAAACTTTACAATGGGCATTTAATTTAGTACTCATTATCATGGATTACAGATGCAGCATATTGAGTTTCTAGTTACTATGGATGTTAAAGAAGTGTCCAAACAGTTTAGTAAAGACAAGTGTGATCTCTCTGATGTTATGTTAGAGTATTGGCTTGAGCAATGGAACGAAGTTTCTTTAGTTTATGTTATGTTTAGATTTTTATTACTTGTCTACAATGATTTAATCTATTACGGGTTTATGCGACCTTCTCCAAGTATGCTTAATAATGATAAACAAGATTGCATACAATATAGCTTGAAGTTCATTTAATTTATGCTTGTTGCATCCACTCTCCCATATGCAGGAGCTTGAAAAGAAGAGAAAGGAGAGGTCTCAAATAGTTTATGAGAGAAAGAAACAATTAACCAAACTTAGACTGAAGGCGGAGAAGGTGGCAGAGGAGAAGCTTGGCTCCCAACTGGACGTTCTTGCAGCTGTGAAGTACTGATATGTTTTTGCCTTTTTGGTCTATAGGTTAGCCCATTTTCCAGTTTTGAGGCTTGTTTTTGTTGAAAGTTGCCATTTCTGTTCTAGATTATACAGCTGAAGACTTATTTAAAACTTGATATCAAGATTTTATGTTGAATGTTTGTGTACGTCTTTTGGAATTATGATTTGATATTCCTGATTGGCAGGCCTTGCAAAAGGATTAGATTAGGTAATGTAGAACTTCTTAAACTTTACTAATCATAAAAAGCGAAAGGGAAATCAGAATTCTCTATCATGAATAGATTTGTTTTTAAGACCTTTAACGGAGTTGTAGGCAAAGGTTTGTCAATTAGAGGAAAATTGGGTCTGAAATATAATTGCATACACGGTATAGATAATTATTGTTGTGTGGGTTTAATATTTTAATTATGATTTGGATGTATATTTTAGGAATTTAATTACTACCTTAGTGTGTAATTTTCACATTGATTTAATACTAGTTAATATTTATAGACAAAATCCAAATGACATTGAAAAAGATATAATAACGAGAGATGATCATATAGCAAAGTAAAGAAATTAAATGGGTTTGACGTACTTCAAATCTTGGCATCTTCTTTTACACAAGAAAATCACCGTAGTAGTTTACAATTAAAGATGATCATATAGCAATATCGTAGCAAAAACAAAAGATTACACTACTTTTAAAACTATAATTGCTTATTCAAAATCTAATTTAGTGAAAGTTTGTTTGCTAATCTAATTAGATATTACATTATTTTTGGATATGGATCAATCAATCAATCAAGACTTTATTTTTGTTGAGAATGTTAAATTAATTTTTGAAAAATAGTTTTTTGTTAAAATTTTGTTGAGAGAATTGGGTTTAAAAAGAGGAAAGTATTTTATTCATCCATTTCCCTCTTATCTTTTCCTTTTCCTTTTCCTTGTCTTTCTTTTTCTTTACGCCCCTATGGCTTATTTTCCTTTCATACTTTCTTTTTACTTAATTTTCATTTCCTTTCACTTTTTATTATTATTCATTCACACCCTTGTCCTTCTTTTTCTTTCCCTTTTTGTTTTTTCTCATTTTTTTAATTCTTGTTTTTTTTTATTCATTTTTTAGTGAATATAAAATAAGGTAACAAAAATTAACAATAAAAAATTGCAAAAGGTTAAGAATACTTTTTTATTTTTTTATTTTTTTATTTTAAGTGTACTGATCAAAATTAGGGTATATGATAATTTTAATCAATGTAAAGAGAAATACAAAATAGCACATAGATGTAGCAATATAAAGTAAGTTTTCAAAATCAATTTTAGTGTAAACAATGAAGTTTAGAAATTAAAAAATAAATAAAAAGCTACTAGAAAATACATTTAAAATGGAGAAAAAAATAAAAAGGATAAAAGGGAGAAAATACCTATTATGCCCCTCTAGACTTTTTGGAAAAGTTATCTTAACATACACAAGACGCGAAATATTTTCTAAAGGGAATTATAAAAAATAAAAAAACATAAATATTCTCTTATCTTTTCCAATATATCTCTTTACACATAATAAATAAAAAGAATAAGTTAACCAATCTAAATACTTGTTTGATTGTAGTTTGTGGCTGTAGCTTTTGTATTTAGAAAGTGCAACTAAAATGCTTTAAAAGCAAAGGTGCTTGTGATTAAAAGCAAAAGCAAAAGCAAAATTTATTTTTAATGGGTCTAAACATAAATTCTAAAAATATAAAATAACTTCACTTATTTATCTTTTTATTCCAAAATTCCCTTTAAATAACTATAAAAATTATATATCATTCTTTTTTTTTTCTTTCAACTTTATACAATTGCTACCGCTATCATCCATAAGTATTTGCCCGCTACTTGCTAGTCATCCTCCACCACCAACGACTTACGACCCTTAGTCGCCCATTGGTTATCAATCCTCGTACTCTGCCACCATTTGGCTACCAACCCTTTTACCCTTCGTTGCTAGTTGGAGTGTAACACTCCAAACCTTTGTACTTTAACGTTTGGTTAAACTCTATTTTGATTCGAAAATTAAATTTTTGATATTTTAATTATGAATGCTTTCTATATTTTAAATTCTATTATATTTTATTAAAATTAATATTTTGTTAGTTTTAAATTGTTATTTGAGTGTTTTCAAAAAATAAGAGAAAAGATGAGAAAAGAAGAAATTGAGAAAAATTGGGGAAAAAACCCTAGGAACCTGCAGGAAGCAACCCGTGCAGGCTCATGTGTCAGCGCCCACGCGACACTGTGCTCACAACAAGCGGCTTGCGTAGGCACTGCGCGCGCATACCACGCATTATGGGCGTACAACGCGCGACAAGACATGCTTGCATGCGCAACTATGTGCTGTTAGCCGCACGTAAACGTGATAGCCCATTGTCACGTTCCATCTGGGCATCCCCCCTCGCCCCACTGTGTAGGTTTCACTATCAGCCACCACTCCATCTACCCGCCACCTGTCCTTCTTGGATGTTTGCCATGTGTCGTGCATCTAAGCCTTCTCCATGCCTATTTAAAAGGCTCCCTTTATCCTCATTTTCTTATACTCTATTTATTCTTCCACTTCCACTCTTTAAAAAAATTTTGAAGGGAGAAAGAAAGAAGTTTTAGAGTGAGAAAGAGGAAATTTTAGAGAGAGAAGAGGCAAGGAAAAAGAAAGGAAAGTAAAAACTTTTAAGAACTTGTTCGAGGATTACTATAAGTCTTTTTTCCTTTCTTAAAGACTTATTTGATTTCGATTTTGATAAGGGATTCTTTTGGTATTTTCTCTTATATTTCTAAGTGCATTTTCTAGAACAAATTATTTAAAGTTGAATGACATTTGATGCATGAAATTCTATGATGATTGACGATTTGTTTATTTAGATATGAAATATGAAATTGTTGAGTATGTTGATTTTGATGCATAAACCTTTATGTTGATTGACAATTGCTCATTTAGATATGAACTATGAAAATATTGTGCATGATGTATGATTAACGTGATGATTAAAAATGCATACGGGTTTGGTCCTTCGCCTTACCTTGGTAACTGTAAAGAGGGTTATTCTAAGAGCTTCACCTCTAAGGAATATCCTGATGATCAAGTTCAGGTAATATGTGCCTTGTGTCGGATATGTTAATGGACCCCCATTAGATTCCGAATGTGTGATGGGTCGGATATGTCATTGAACCCCACTGGATTTGAAACTTATAATTGATATGAATATTGAATAAACAAGTGAAAAGAATGAAAATCTGTTTGACTATTATCTTTGAAGGGTTACTGTCTCTCCATACTCATTGATTTGAAAAGATTGGTGAACCGTTTCCCTGTGAATTATGGTGTTCTCTCTAACAAGAGTGAGTTCACGATTACACATGTAGGAGCCACAGTGGTGACATACTACCCTGGTAATTAGTTTATATCTTAAATGGATAAAGAAATAGAATTGGCATTCCCTCTTATGAGAATAGATTCGCGATGGTATATAGGGCCA